TGCCCAGCCTCACCCAGGTGCTAAGCAACCAAGTCTGCCTGATTTCCAGAGTCTGGGCACCAGGCTGCCCTCCAGGAAGTTAAGGCTGCCTCAGCAGCCCACACCCCAGAACCATCATTTTACCTTCCTTGCTGTCTCCAGACTTGGACCAGATGGGAACCCAGTTCTGGAGAAATCTACTCTCCTCGACCAGAGCCTGCTCTTGTTCCCCAACCCTCACATGTCCAGCCCCAGATTCTGTCTACAGGCCCAGGGGGAAAGGTCGCAAGCCTGAAAAACCAGCCTCCCTGGTCGTGGCTTGGGGCCAGTGTCTAAACCCTGTCTCTGGATGACCTTGGCACCTGGACCTCAGCTTCCCCACTGGTAAAACGGACTAGGTTGTCGAAAATTGGGTTGGACAGTGATTCTGTGATTCCCCAACCCTCCATTCCCATCACCCTGAACAAAGTTAGAGGCTTCCCCTTAGTTTGGGTGGTCTTTAGGAAGAAGGCTCAGACCCCAATTTCAGAATTTAGAGCTGGCAAGGGGGCCAAGAGAACGAGGGGACCCAGCCAGCCAGGGAAGCCACTAATCTCCATCTCTCCCTGGAGGGACTTCACAGCCACCTCCACTGAAAGCAATTTGTCATGCCCTGAATTAAGTGACTCCAACAAGGGTTTAATTTCAGTTTAATGGCTCTGTTTTTGTATGTAATTAAATACCAATGCATGGTGAAAATATGTTGTTTGCACTTTAGAGACTGTGTAAGGGCCAGGAAGCCAATCCCACCGGGTTTCTACTCCCAGGCTCCACCAGCCCCTCCCCTAGTCCAGCTGGAATTGTCCAGGTTGTGGGGAAGGGGGGTGGGGACCTGGGGAAGAGAGGGAGGCGGGGAGGGGAGAGGTGGTCCTGGTGGCGCCTGCTGACTCAGTAGAGCATGTTTCTAATTATCTGCAGCACCCCCCTTCTACTCGCTGACCCCACCCTCCCCAACCCCTGGGGCCTCAGACATAGAAGGGACAGGTCACTCTGACAGTGAGGATCTAATTAGACTCTTGGCTGGCTGGAGTGGTGTCTGCTCCCTAAGGTCCGCCCCATTGTCTCTCCTCTGCTTCTTGTTCCCATTAACTCCCTCTTCCCCCTTGAATATGCTTCCTCCCCATTGACGCTCTCCCCAGCACTCACAAACCACCCCTTCCTCCCCTCCTCCCTATGAGGACCCAAGATCCCAGCTGCGAGCCTGCCTCCCAGCTCCATCCAACCACATCATCTTGACTTTCTCTTTCTAGGTCAGAGGTGACATTGCCATAGTGGTCTGGAATGCAGGGGGAGTTTCTCTGGCTGCGAATATTTCGGGGTCATTTACCACACAGCCATATCCTCCCCAAGAAAGGGGGCCAAGCAGGTTCCCCAAGTCCTGCATGCCTCATAACATTCCTGGAGCAGCTTGGTGGTCAAATCTGGCCCAGAGGGCAGAGGGGTTGGGACAAGTGGCGTTTTCCTGGAAGGAGTTGAAGGGATGGCAATGGCTGGAACCTCAGGGCCCTGATAGGAGGAGAGGCTAGGAGGCTTGGCCAGCTCTCCAGAGATTCCCCCACCTGAATCCAACACTGGAGTCAGTCCAAGTCTCCATTTTTTTCTCCCTACTCCCGCCCTGCCTTCTTGCCAATTTAAAATCCAGCCCCCAACCCTCATCCCGACATCAGGGCTTGATCTCCACTAATGAGAATGAGCTGGGAAATGGAAACCAAATGCCTGATGTAGATCGGTACCAATGGGCTAGGGGAGCCTGGCAAGGTGCCCCCCATCTTGCTGCTCCAAGCCACAGTTGGGTGTGGGAGGGGGGGAATGATATTTCTTGGGGAGGCAGGGCAGAGCCCTCAAGGACTTCAGTTTTAACTTCATCCAGGTACGTTGGCCCCACTAGGACACAAGAGTTTGGTCCTCACCACCTCCTCCCTTCCACCTCTGCCAGAAATGCTGATGCCCCTGTGGCAACTAGAGTGACCATTCAAGGGTCTTTGGAGGCCATGGTGGGAGGGCCTAGGTGCAAACTAGCAATTCCTCTCTGGAGCCCAGTTCTCCACACTGTGACACTGCCCATGACAGTTCACTTCCTCTGACCTGGCAGTGGAGGAGCTTGTCCACATTGACATGGAGATGCTTTTATTTCCTTCTTTTTTGACACCTAAGACCTGGCTCCCAGATCGTGGGGGCAAGTACCAGGGGTGGGGGGCAGTTTGTGTGGGATGTGGAATTCCCCCTCCCAAAGTGCACATCCTCTATTCTCTGGTGCTAGACAGCTCCCCACAAACCCTGCGGTGGAGACACCTAATGAGCGATGGTCATTCACTCACAGCCGGGAGGGAAGTACATACATACTTGGTGAATTTCTCCTTTCCTCTCTCTTCACATCACACACATTCACATTCAGATTCATACAGCCCACATAGACACACCACACAAATGTGCATCTCGTCTATGCACACCCACACCAGATATACATACCCTGTAAAAGCCCATACTCTCACTCACATTTCAAATATCACTTTACCATATTTGCACATGTGTGCACTCACACACACACCACAAATATACGTATATCCCAAAGGCACATCCTAGGCCACACATGCAGCTTCTTCGCAAGCAGACCCTGCTTTTTCTGGAGGCCCATGAAAGAAAAAGAACCTCGTACCACCCACTGCCAAGGCTGGAACATTGGGAAGAGGGCTGGAGACAGAGGGGAATCTAAAGAGATGCTTTAGGGAAAGAGATACTCTCTCTATACCTGGTGTGGGGAACTAAAACTTAATCGTCAGCCTGTACCCACCTCCTACCCCAACATGCCTTGGCCTCAGCCCCAGAAGTAGGGTGTTCTGTGAAGAGTGGCCAGGAGGCCGAGGGAGCAACCCTCAGCATCACTTTGTTCTTTATCTCCTGCTGCTGGCAGTGGGCCACAGTGCCTCAGGGAAATCAGACGGCTACAGGATGCCGCCACCAAGGCAGCGCTACGAGGATTGCAGCCCCAGACTCAAGATGCAGACAGCACAGCTGCCAGTGCATCAGGGGCCAGGGAAATCGAGAGGCCTGGGAGTGCCTCTGGAGCCAGGGAGGGGCTGGGAATCCAGGAGACAGCCGGATAGGAGGGAACTCCCCCGAGTGCAGCAGACTCAGTGCACGGGCTCTCCAGGCTGCCCATGACCTCCTGGGAAGGAACCCCCACCCAAGAGATCAACACACAAACAACAGACACACACACACACACACACACACACTCACACAGCACAGAGGTGGAGGATAGAGAGGGGCATTGGGAGACGACCAGGAATCCAGTCATACCACATGGGCACAAATTCTGGGGCTGGCACCAGGAGCCCACAGCCTGGTGAGCCCAGGAGAGCAAGATCAAAGATGCCCCCAGTCCCAACCCCTCAGAATCAAATCTTAGCACACCTCCCAGTCAGGAATCTAGGCAGTCAGAGCTGTGGAATGCGTTGGAGAGTTTATCCCCTTTCCCCAACTTCAGGGCAGTGCCTCCCTCATACTAAATTAATAAATCAAATCCAGATGCAAACCCAATCTGCCTGATGTCCTAGGAAATGCCCCAGCTTCACACACCAGCTGATCCCAGAAATAGCTCTGGCCCAGCAGGGCTGTCCTTGCTTGCTCCCTCCGTTCAGAAGCCATTATTTGCCCACCAGGAGTCTGAACAAAGACAGCACAGACTCTAGGGATGGGGAGGCCCCCTAGGAAGAGGCTGCAGGGAAGAGGAGGGTGAACTGGCTGACCCTTTGCAGTCCTTTTACCACATAAGACAGGTCTCCCCACCCCTGGTGCATCCCTGTCTCTAATTTTAAATAAATCAACCGAACACAATTGTCTAGATTTTTTTTTGTTTTGTAAAAAAAAAAAAGAAAAAGAAAAGATACCATGGCCAACTGGTAGGTCCCTAAGTCTCCTTCTATCCAGTCAAGCCAGAAAATGCCCAGGGGGTAAGGCAGTGTAGGGGAGGGAGGTGCAGGGGAAGGAGATGTGGGGAGGGAGGCAGAGCCACAGGGTGTGAGCCACTGAAGGATGGAGTCATCCTGGTGACTTCGTGGCTGTGACCACAAATGGGGGAAGAAGCAAGACCCCAGGCAAGTCCCTCACCCCCAGCACGCGGGTCCTCTTCTCCATCAGGCACATACAGTCCAACCATGCATTCTTTCCTCTGATCTTGACTGCTCAGAAATGAGCCCCACCTCCCCAACCCTCTGTCCTGCATGCCTTTCTCTTCCCTCCCCTATAGCGGGGTCTCAGCTGCCAGGCAACCAAGCAAATGGCACAATTCTCAATCCAAAAACCGAGATGGACCTGGGCTTGTCTCTGTAGGTCCTTCCGCCTGGAGGGACCTGGGAGAAAGAGAAGGGGAGCCTGGCAGGCCTGAGCTTTGGAAATGGGTCTGGGTCTCCTGACCTTTGAGCCATCTGCCACCCCACACCTTCCCTACGGCCTCTACCCTCTGACTAGATTGAGGGGAGGGACAGCTGTCAAGGTACATGTCTACTTTCCTCCTCTGATTCTGGGAATGGAACTTCTCTTCTTCCACAGGGTTGTGCTCATCTTATAGGAGGTGGCCCCAGATGCCCAAATCAGAGGAAGGCAGAATAAGAGCCCCCAGGGCTGAAAACTAGAGCTGGCATGTAGTATGTGGTCAATAAATGTTTTTAGATGGCTGAGTGGCTAGATGGCTGAATGAATGAATGAATCCAGGATCAATTTGGAAACACACCAGGGCTCCCCATTGCCACTCTCAGACCTCTTGGGCTATCTAAACCCAAAGAGGATACCCCTAGGCTCCAGCTCATCCCAAGGGCACACCCAAGCTCATAAACACACGCACACACACACACATACACACACACACCCAAGGGAAACTTCTGGGCTGGAGGCAGAGCCAGGACTCAGACTCAGGCTCCAGGTCAGTTCTGCAGCCTCCAGGGGAGAGAGTAGCAGGGGGCACTATGTCCCCTGCCCGCTGGCAGGGCTCACTCATGGAAGCTGTCAGCCAGCTGGTGGCAGTCCAGCTCCCCCTTCGGCTCCAGGCCCCCCGGAAGCTTCACTCCCGTCTTCCGATCCACACACCAGCATTTGCCGCGCTGTCCATCCAGGGCTGGGTGGCACTGCCAAGACAAGGATGTGAGAAGTCAATTCTCAGGCAGCTCACCCCAATGCCAGCCCAGCCCCCAAGTCAGACAGTTGCTCCAAGACGGCCTCTGAGGGAGGAGGCTCTTTCATGAGCACAGGTCCTCTGAGCTCTCGCAGTGGAGAGAACTTGGCCGAGAAGGAGAGGTCCAGAGAGTTTTGAAAGTCAGGGCTCTGAGAAGGCTCTGCAGCCCAACTGGAGGGCAGACCGGATCCATGGGGTTTAAAGGTACAGCTGGGTTTGAAAAGCTAGAGTTCAGATTGGAGACGTGTTGAGTGTGTGTTCTGATTGGGTTTGGACTTGAGGAATGGGATGTGGTTAGGAGCAGCATCCAAGTTGAAGTTAAGGTAAGATCAGGATAAGGGTTGCAGTAGAATTGAGAATTATGACTAAAACTTGAGTTGGGTTAGGCTTAGAGCCCAGGTCAAAAATGGAATTGGGATAAAGATAGAAGCTAAGGTCAGAACAACTAAAGCAGTTGGACTAAAGTTTGGGTCAAGATTAGACAGCAGGAGGAGAGAGTGCAGGGGGCAAAGGAGTATTTCAGAGTCAGATTTAGAGTTGGAGTGAAGGTTGTGTCAAGGGTCAGAATTGGTCTGGGGGAAAAGGGTCAAGTGTCAGAACTTTCAGTGGGACAATAATTGGGGGAAGAAAACACATAGAACGGTACAACACAATGAGTGAACCCTAATAAAGACTATAGACTTTAGTTAATAATAACGTATCAAGAGGCCAGCCTGGTGGCGTAGTGGTTAAGCACGTGTGCTCCACTTCGGCAGCCCAGAGTTCACAGGTCCAGATCCCCGAAACGGACCTACACACCGCTCATCAAGCCATGCTGTGGCAGCATCCCACATACAAAATACAGGAAATAGAGGAACAAAATAGAGGAAGATTCCTCTACAAAATAGAGGAAGATTGGCACAGATGTTAGCTCAGAGACAATCTTCCTCATCAAAAAAATAAACTAAAATAAAATAATAGTAATATGTATCAATATTAGTTCCTTAATCGTAACAAATGTACCACACTAATGCAAGATGTTAATAGGGGAAACTGGGGGTGGGAGGGTAGATGGGAACTCTGTATTTCCCGCTCAATTTTCTGTAAACCTAAAACTGCTCTAAAAAATAAAGTCTATTAATTTTTTTTAATGAGGAGAAAAAGGTTTTAAAAATTGAGACAAGGATAAAATTGGTGTTGGGATAAATGTTGGAGATAGGTTTGGCATTGGTTTTGGAGGGGCCCCCTCTGGTCCACTCATTGCACACCACCTCATAACCTCCTCATGCCATCCTGGCATGTACAGACCCAGGGGCAGCCCTTCTCCTCCTAGTTAGGCCTCTGCTGGCCGAGTGGCAACCTATTTTGTGGATATGCATGGAGTGGGAGTGTGTGCCTATGCCCACAAATAGCTGGGGAAAGAGATCTAGGTCAGGGATCCCCAGGCCACACCCAGCACGAGGCACCCCAGTGCCCTGCCTAGATATGCCACTCTTCCAAGTGGGTCCAACTCTGACTGGTCAGAGATGAGGCTGGAGCAGACCACCCTTGCTGCACATCCCAGCCTCCTGAGGGGCTCGTCAGAGGAACCTAGTTCCAAGGGCATGAGAGAGCATGGAGGTTACTACACTCATGTCTTCTCTCCTGCCCCCCTCTTTCCTAGGCTTCCACCCAAAGCTCCCGTCTCCAACTGTCAGATCTGGATTTACCTCCAACCTGGCTGAACCCCAGGTGGTCTGGCTGTTCAGCTTGAGGGAAGAGGCAAGCTGAGTTTCCTCCTCAGCTCCTCATGACCTAGCCCTTCCATTCCCAGATGAAATCTCAGACAGTCTGTGACAGAAAAGAACTACTCATAGGAATGGAGTAGGGGGAGTGAGAGTGTTGGGAGGCAGAGGTTGGCAGGAGTACTAGGTCTACATCAGATGGTGAATCCAGAGATGATGGAAATTGCCCTGGACAGGGAGGCAGGATAACCCACCTACCATTAATTCATTCTGTGACTTTGGGCTGGCCTTTACCCCTCCCTGGACCTCAGTCTCCTCATCTCCAAAATGAGTGAGTGGGCAAAATGAGCCGAGATTCTGAGGCTGGGGGAGGGTTTAGGGAGGGTCCAAGGGGTTAGGTTGGGGGGCCTCCCCCTTCCTGAGATCACCATCCTGGACCACCCTGTGGAGAGGCCAGGAATGCCCCTGGAGCTGAGGTCAGGGCAGAGCCAGCGGAGAGGGAGACCCACCTGCTTGGGATGGAAGTTCCCGTTGCGGTCACAGTTGGGAATGGGGATGATGTAGAGGTCCTCGTGGGTGCGACTTTGTGAGGCGGCCAGCCGTTCCAGGGCCCGGTGCAGCTCACTCTGGCAGGAGCCCTGGGGCTAGAGGGGAAGGATGAAACTGCTTAGCAGAAGGCAGAGCAGCAGGAGGACCAGGGCTGGGGGTCAGAGAAGGACTGAAGGCCTTGAAAGGAAGGTCAAGGCCTGGAGGCTGGGCAGGGCCAATGAGGTGAAGGGAGGGGCTTGGGTTCAGAAGACACTGGGGGCACAGTAAGGGACATTGAAGAGAGGATCTTAAGCCAGAGCTTTGAAAAAGGAGGGGTGTGAAGTGAAGGGACGTGGGGAAAGGGGCTGTGGAAACCTATGGAGAAGGATCGATGAAATCATACAATTAACAACCTGTAAGACCCAGGCACGGATCCGCCAGAACCACCCATCAGAAAGGACATTAGCCAGCCCCTAAAGCGGGGTCCCAAGGCCCCCTGCTATGGCCAGCATCAACCCTTTAGTTACTGAGAAGCTCTGGGGTAGGGAATCCATGACAAGGGCCAAGAAACATCAGGAGGCTTGGGGCAACTGTTATCTACCAACGAGTACAGAAGTATTTCAGTATTTAACAATCCCTTCAGCTGTACCAATGTACAGAACTGATGAGCAGGAAAGCAATTTCAAGGAAAGGAATGAGGACTCTCTGGGTCCTGATGACGCATACTAGATGCATCTTGCACACACTAGGCATCCAAAGAATGTTTGCCGAATGAACATAGTCCAGATCCGGTGTGGTGGCAGTGGTGGTGTTGTTGCCTATGCACATGCGCATCTGTAGGTCAGAGGTCCTCACCACAGGCCGGGCTTCCTCCCGGGGCACTCCGACGACCTTCATCTTGCCCCCACTGGTGCTCCGGTCTCGAATTTTGGCGAAGTGCTTCTGCAGGCACCTGCGGTCATGGGCGCTGCAGGGGCTGAAGCTGTTGTTGGGGTGGTCCCCCTCATCCTTGTCTGCAGTCAGGCCAAGATGGAGAGAGGTCAGCACTGGGAAAGGACAGGGCAGCACACCAACCCAGCCTCCCATCAGTTTGCTTCTTGGAGATTCTCCAGGCTGGCGCTGGGGAAGAGCAGGGGGCTTGGGGGGTGGCAAGAAATGAAAGAAGTACCCCAGTCTCCTCCCCACTCCCCTCGATCTCCTCCGGAGAATATTCCTCTTGAAGTCCTTGACTTGTCCTTCACCCCACCCAGTCCGGCCCTCAGCTGAGTCACCAGCTGCAGCTGCCCAGATGGCAGGAGGGTCCATCCCCTGGGCCCTGCAGGGAGGTCTAAGGCAGGCAGGGGCCGTCCACCGGATCTTGTCCCCCCTCCATTCAGCTCCTCCTACCATCCCCCTCTCCATCTGCTCTCTCTTCTTGTCTCTTTTCCTGCTTTTTTCAGCATCTGGCTGAGCCAGCCAGGGGATCCCCAGGGCTGTTGGCTCTGCTGACCCTCTTCCAAATGGCCAGAATCAAAGTTTCCATGAGTGATGAGAAATCTGGCCCAAAAGGCTCTCCCCATTGGCTGGACAGGAGAGAAGTGGGAGTGGGTGTGTATGCCTGCGTGTGAAAGTGTGTGTGTGACACTCTGTGTGGCCCCAGGACCAAGAGAACACCCTCACACATCCCTTCAGTCCCTCACCCCAATGTCTTCCATCCTTAGACTTCAGACCCCATCCAAAGTCCATTTCTGTTGCCCAGAGCCAGGGCACCGTGGATCTGGAGATGGGGATGGTGAGGTTGGACCCCCGCCCTCTCCCTGGGATCTCCTAAAGACTCTAACTGAAATCAAGAAAAATTCCATCCAGAAGTCCCAGAACCGAAACCACTGCTCCTCCTTCCAGGCAGCCAAAACCAGAACACAGGGCTGAGCTGGAGAAAGAGGCTACAAGACCTCTCCGCACATCAGAGTCACCTCTGAAATGCTCCAGCTTGGCAGCTCGCTACCGGCCTGAGTGCAAAGTCCCTGCCAGCATTCCAGATGTTGGCAGCCAGACAGAAGGTTACATCTGGTTTGCGTCAGGATTTTTTTTTTCCTGGGGAGTTAGCAGGTTCCTCCATGCATGGCAGCGGTCCCAGAGCTGCCTCTGGGTCAAATGGTATTTTTCTGCCTAGCCAAAGTTAGTTGGGGGTTTAGTTCTCCCTTTATTCTCCTAATTCCAGGGGATGTAGGGGGATGCATGTGCACAAAGGGAAACCAGGCAAGGAGAAATACAGACCCCCAGAAAGACTTTGTCAAGATTCCACACCAAAGGTTATTTATAAAATTGAGTCACCAAGGATGGGAAGAATTGTCACGGGTGCAGGGCTGACTTAGAAAAAAGAATCTAAGGGAAGGAATAAATGCAGCAGATAGATATAATCCATCCTCCTGCATATTTAACATCCCAGGAAGGACAGTCCAGAGGGGACTTCTGTCCAGAGATGACATCAAGTTCCTGAGGGTCAACCAAACAGAAGACACTATAGCAAGACCTCCCAGCTGATGTAGGCAGCCGAAGAAGGGGCAGATAAATTTCAGAAGACGAGGATTGTGCCAAGGGGGCCATAAGAAGAGGGACCCTGAGCCAGTTAGGAAACAGTAGAAAGATCTGGGATCCAGGCTCTTCCCTAAAGACCCCCCCAAGGAACCTTTCTGGCCAAAAAGGCCCAGGCTGACCAGTGACCCCTCCCCACATCAAGTCCACCTTGCACAAAGCCATGAGACTTGTGGATGGGGTCACAGTGTTTCAGGGGTATAGGCTGGAGGTGGGGAATGGAGAGAAAGAGGAAATGAAAGACCTAAAGGAATTAGAGCCAAGTGTCAGAACGACAGAGGCTGAGCTGAGATGTGAACAAAGGCACCACCATTTTACCTGGGAAAGGCTGGAAGGTCTTACAGGGACTCATTTGCCACAACCCATGACACTAACTTGGGGGCACCCTTTGAACTTGAAAAGGTTTCGTTGTCTTTCCTTTGAGTTTGCTTTATTTTTATGACCATACAGGAAAGCGTTACTTTGCACGGTGACACTAGCTCCTCTTGGTCACAGGCAGAATGTTCATAGGTTCGAGGAATAAGGAAGAGTTTTCTAATGAATGGGGCTGCCTCAGGAGATAGAGAGTTCCCCACCCTGGAGGTGTGGAGCATTGGGGTGGTAGAGGCCTCACGAATCTAGAGATCTGGAGTAGACGTTTGACTGCAAACATGCTTTCCAATGCTGAGATTCTATGACTAAAAGTTCACAAATGACTAACACTCAGGAGATTATTAATGGACATTTGGAATGTTTATCCCTTAACTTAAGAGGTACCATTCAGGAAGACAACTGGGTCCACTCCCTGAAATCTGAGGCTGCATGGGGCATAGGGCGAGCCTGGAAGCGTAGCTTATATGCTTGTGTTGGTCGTAACCCACATCACATAGAGCGGGTTATGTGGGGAAAACTGAGCAGGCAGCCTGCCTGGCCACCCCCTTCTTAGTTTTGCCCACAGCCTAGCACACTTACCCCTAGCTGGTGTATAAGCTTAGAGTAGAACACACCAGCCAGGGAGAGTAGCTCCTTACTTACTCTCATGGGGACATAGGTACACAGACTATGTCCATATCTGCTCGCTCAGACACAGACAGGCTGGGACTCAAGAATCACAAACATAAACAATCACATGTCCAGGCACACACTAGTTCGCGCGTGCACGCTGCACTCTGACCCTGCCCTGAGCAGAGACACAGACCCGGGGCAGGGCACACTCACTGCACCATGGCTTGTTGACTTTCCATTTAATCTGTAACTTTTCCTCGCCTGGCCTTGCTTAACTGGAGGACTGAGGACCCACTGCAGAATCCATCCATAGGCACTTGGTTTGGGAGGGTGAGGTCATAGCCTTGGGTCTCTGGAAAATGTTAACCTTCCCATCTCCAAAACTGGCTAAATACTTGCTACTTCCCTACTAGTGCAGCAGTTCCAGCCACCCGGTGCTGCTCACCCAAGTGGCTCCCTCTGGAAAAACCCCAATCCCTGTGGGTTCCCCTCTGAGCGGGAGCCGCAGTCAGACCTAGCCCCCTGAAAGTTCTGACCTCCTGACCTCGGAAAGGCTTGTTTGGGAGATGGGAGGGATAGACCAGGTCACCTCCTCACGCCCCTGCTTGGAACTAGGCCAACAACATCGAATCACAGTGGAAACCTTGGTCTTTGCTCCAGCAACAGAGAAAGGGAAGGCACCCAGAGAGAGAAGAGGCTTCACAGCTTTGGCATCACTGGTTGCAAAGTTCATAGTCAAAGCTAGAGGATTTCCTCTTTCTTGCTGCCTGATTTCACCCCCGTGATTTCTCCTTAACTCTAGCCCCTGCCCTCCTCAAGATACCCAGGGTGAGGCTGTGAGCTGCGTGGGCCCAGACACAGAAGTTTCAGCCACGATCTGGAGGGTCACTCATCTGCCTTGCAAGAAAAGCCTTTTCCTTCTTCCCCTGGACTCTGTCTAGAGAAGCGAAGACTCCCCGTGCTGGATACCAAGCCCTTTCTTTGAGGTCTGGCTCGAGGAGTGTCCCCCTCACTGTTGTGCCATGCTGCCGGCCTCAGATTAAAGAGCCAGAGAAGAAAAGCTGGCCTGTCCTTCCCATGTTTACAGCAGCAAAAGGTATCAAAGTCCACCCTACCTCTCTCAACTCCTCTGAATGTCCTCCCAGCTTTGCTCACTTGCCCTACTATCCCCCAAAGTCCCAGCATCAGAGGAGGATTTAAGCTTCAACTTAAATCCATTCAGCTTCTTCTTCATCACCATCCTCATCATCACTCCAATTTATTGAGCTCTTACTCCATGCCAGACACCCCAACCCTATGAGGCAGGTCCTATTGCCATCCCATTTCACAGATGAGGAAATGAAGTAAACTGGGTGGAGACGAAGGAGGAGAGACTTATATCAGCAGCTCCTATGTCTTTAGATGGAAAGACTCCTGATACCCGAGACACCAATAATTCTTGCTTTGCCAATACTAAAGGAAAAATGTTAAGCAGCCATGCTTCTCCTTCCCCCCTCCCCCAAGGCACAGAATTTCTGGGAAGGCCCTGTTCCCATGACATGACTAGATTCCCAGTACTGAAGTAAAGGGGACAATATTTGCTGCGTTGACTAAAAATTAACCCAGCCTGCATGTTCCCTAATCCTGTCCCAGAGGGACCCAGAGCACAGTTTAGGAACTCCCCAGTCCAAACACTGATCTTCCCACCGTCCCCTCCCCTAGATTCCATGAGTCGAGGGTCAAGACACTGATGCAGAATCGTGGACTTCTGACGCACACATCCCACCCCACCCCCACCTCTGGTGGCCTGAGTGGTGTTAATCCACATTTGCTGGCTCAGAAAGCTGGGACAGGAGGGCCATTGTGGGGGTGGGGGTGGGGGGTGGAAGTGGGAGACCTGCCCCAGGACAAATAGGAGGCAGCTGGACCGTAGCAGGCCAAGGGAAGGGGTATGCCAAGAAGCTGCCTTCCTCCAGTCACCTGCTGAAGCTCAGCCCCAAGAGGAAAAGGCAGAAAGAAGCGCCAGATACCCTCTGCCAATGTATTCCCCAGGCCAGAGGGCCCAAGCCTTGGGACCTAGGAGGGACAGTGGCCTATTGACAGTGGAAGAGAATAGCAGGGCTAGGGACCGAGCCCTGGCCATCTTGTTCCAACAGAGACCCTGCAGGGCTGCTGCACAACTCTGGGGGTGCGATTCACACGGAGCAATGTGGCCCAGGCCGTGGCAGGGGGTACTTCTGTGATGACTAGGAGGTGAGAGGCCATGGACACAGCTTGCCGAGTTGCTACCTAGTTTCCTCAGGGCCCTCCAGGCTTCTGCTTTCCCTCTCCAGATATCTGCATGCACTGCATGGGTGGAAGACAGGCAAGGAGGGAAGAGTGAGGTGCGTTGAGATCTGGGTTCTGTAATCCGAAGGGGACCCAAAGCCCCCTTTTGAGGCCGTTTGCAAGATGTCCACAGGACAATCATAAACTGTTCGTGCCATGCCCCTCAAAGGCCCCAGGGGATCAGATTTTCCTCCACTACAGGATGGGGTATTCCTACCCAGCCAGGGAAGAAGGAGTGCCCAAGACCCTCTGAGGGCTCTTCTGCCTCGTGTTCAAACTGGTGAGAGAGAAGGAAGCTACGAGCCATCCTAATCTGGTGCCAGATACTCACTGGCCAGTGCAGGACAGAGATACAAAGGGAAAGTGGTCCCGTTATACCCAGGGAGCCCAAGGGCTCAGCCCTCACGCCCAGTCTGGTCTAGTATCAGCACCTTCCTCTCCCACTGGCACTGGCATCTCTGCCCCAGGAGCAGTGACTTGGTCCCCCAGCACCCCCCTTCCCAGATGTGCTGGGTGCCAGGCTGGCATTTCTCCTAGAATGTTTTCTGCTGACCCATCTTTCACTGCCCAGGGGCAGGAAGGGCAGAGAGGCCTGAGGCCCAGACCCCTGGGGTCCACCTCCTTCCTGTTTTCCCTGCATCCTGCTCTCCTCCGGCTCACAAGCTGCAGAGGATTGAGGAAGTGGAGCGGTCTGGGACCCAGAGCAGGAAGCTTGGGGCTGGAGTCCCAGCATCCGGACTGCAACAATGGAAGCTTCAAGCACCAGGAAAAGAGACAGACACAGACAGAGGCACAGGGAGAGCAAAACAGAGTCAGAGAGGGAACAAAAAACAGAGGCAGAGATACAGAAAGGCAGACAGAGCGAGATTCCAAAGTAACAGAGAAAGACAGAAACAAAGAGAAAAAGTGACTGGGACACAGAGAGAAAGAGCAACAGAAAGCCTGAGATGAAAGTGAGAGAAGTAGGACAACAGAAAAAGGCACTAAGAGAGAAAGAGAAAGAAACTGATAATGGGCGGAAGATACTGAGGAAAGGAGAACTGGAGAACGTTGTTAGTGAAACTAGAGGTTGAGAGGTGCAGCAGGAAAGAACAAAAGAATAAGAGAAAGGAAAGAGACTAAGAAAGATTATAAGGAGAAACTGAGAGGTTCACTGAGAAAGGAAACAGAGAAAGTGTAAGAATGAGTTTAGGGCGAAGGGGCCTTCTAAAGCTCTTCTCTGGCTTCCTCTCTCTCTCCCTGCTTCTCTCCTCCCTATCCCACACCCGTTAGGCTTCTGCAGCTCTGGGCTGGGAGCCAAGATTTGCTTCTCTTCTGCCACCTCAAATGGCACCTGCCGGGAAGAAGTAGGGTGCCTGTGCACCAGGGCAGGGGGAGATGCCCAGGCCTGACAGAGAGACCCCTGTCTTCCCAACACCTCTCAAACAGCAAGGTGAGCTGGCCTGGGGCTTCGGGGAAGGGTAACTCTGATGCCCCTCAAGACAAAAGCTCCCCTTAATGTGCACATCCCACTCCACCCCATCTCAATGTCAAAAGCCCAAGCCCTGGCTTCTCAGACCTCTGGGATTTCACCTGTGGGCAGGGTGAGGTGAGGTCCCTGGATCAGGAACAGAAAGCACCCCCCAGCACCATCCCCATCCTCCAGTTATCTGGCCCTAGACTGCTCACTTGCAGGATGTGAGCTGGATCAGGTCACTTAATTTTACACTCTTGCACCAGCGGCCAGGACTACCATCAAGACCTCTCTTCCCAACTGGGCACCCTCGGGAGGTTTGAGATGGACGGATGGGACAGAGTCCTTCTTGATGGTGGCAACAGGCTGCTAGGGACTCCATAGCAGTTTCTTTGGCTGAGCCTGTCCCATGCCAGTCGGGCCCTGCCTTCTCCTCAACTCACAAGGGAATTTCAAGGGCCTTCCAGGCCAGCCTGAATGATAAAGGGCCTTCTGGGAGGGGAGCACACCAGGGAGGGCGTGCAAGGGCAGGGGCACCTTACCAGAGGGTTGCAGACTTTCCTGGATGGCTTCGATCTCCGCCAGCTCCATGCACACGCCTTGACCGTGCATCAGCGTGTGCAGGGGCTTCTCCACCCCCCGGGGCGGGTAACAGCGCAGGCCCGAGCCGCAGCGTTGGGTGTACACCCCGCAGGGCATCCCCTTGCCTAGGGCGCAAGTGGCGCAACAGCCGCAGCCGGGCTCCCGCACCAGCTCCTCGCAGCCCACGGGGGGGCGGCAGCGCGCCAGCTTCTCCTCGGAGCAGGGCGGGCAGTGGATGGCTTCGTCCCCCAGGCTCGGCCCGGGCCCGGAGGCCAACAGCAGCGCGGCCACGAGGCAGAGGGGCAGCATGACCGGGAGAGAAAGGGGCGCGGGCGCGGGGCGCGGGGGGGGGAGCGCGGGCGCGCAGGCTGGCAGCAGGGGGCACACGGCGGCAGCGCCCGGCGTGCCTGGAGGACCCGACCCAGAGGGCGCGGGGAGACGGGGCGGCCCGCTGACGGACAGGGATGGAGCCAGGGAAGTTAGCAAGCGGGCTGGAGGGGAGCGAGCCTGGCCGCCGAGGCGCTGCGCCGCATCCTCGGCCCGGCCCAGGCGGCGGGCGGCGGCGGGGCAGGGGGCTGAGCGGCTGCCCGGGACCGGCTCCCCGGGACTTTATACCGGCCCCTGGCCACACCCCCAGCGCCTTCCCAGAGGTGGGGGGGCGAGGGGGGGCGAGGGGGAGGGGGAGAGGGAGAGGCGGCCGTTAGGGGGAGGGGGCGCTGTCCTGAGTCGCCGCCGCTATAACATCTGAAAGTCCTTTTCTGCCCAAGAAGGAAGCGGCGCAGTTTGGAAGCTGTGGCAGGCGCAGAGAGCGCCTCTGAACCGGAGCCTGGGAGCAGAGAGAAGGGAAAGGGAAAGCGAAGGCGCTGCTCCTTGGCCCCCTCTCCTGACCTTGGAGGATTCTTCCCCGACCCCTCCAAGGCGGCCTGCAGTCCCACCACTGAGAGCGCGACCTTCTAGCTCGGACTCCTGACTCCGCGGATTCAATCTCCCTGCCAGAGTCCTTTCCCACCCCAGTACTTCCAGTCTCAACCGCTGGAGACCAAGTTGGGTGGGGTGGGGAAAGGGGTACAGGCACCCAAGGAGGGGCCCAGAAGGGCCTGATGGCCCTAAGACTTTAGTAGGCTCTCTTCCCACTTGCCCTTTCCAACCTCCCCCTGCCCCTTGTCTCCCCAGGGCTCATTTGAGTCCTGGTCCACGCTGCCTGCCCCAGGATGAAATCAACCCAACTCCTGCGGAGGGAGGTGCCAAGCCTCTTCCTCCTTCCTGGATGTTTGCGTCTTCTACCCAGACCCACTCCCAGAGGGAGATTTGCTGGGGAGATTGCCACTCTCAGTGTGCAAATTGTGCATTGCACAACTCCAGGGGGCAACATTTCTCTTGTAGTCATTGTAGGTATGTATAGCTGTTGTGACAGTGTTCCAGTAGATGGCAGTCAAGGGTTTTGAGGAAGGGGTGCCTTTTTCTAATTCACCCAGTGTTGCTATTTGAGCTAGTGTCCGGGTAGTCTAGGCCCTCTGTGAGATCCTATTGGTACCTGTATCCTCCACCCTTGCCTCGGTCCTGCTGGGATTGGAAGGGGCCATAGAGCAGCATTTGAAGCAGCCACAGGTCTCCTAGGTTCTCTCTCAGGTCCCCCTAGTACTCACCCATCCTCCCCCACAAAGGTTTCTGCTATCCTGGAGCTGGTTTCAGGGTAAGGGCGCCTGTCCAGGCATAATCAGTGACCCAGTGGATTTTTTTGGCTTGGCCTAGAAAGCTGCAGGGCAGCCAAGCTGAAGTGCAGATGAGAGACCCTCTTCCTGCTTCCTCTCCCAGGACAGGGGTCTTTCAGTCTCACAAGAATTGGGCCCCTCTCCTGCTTTCTGCAAATGCAGACTGTCCAGGTGATAGGAGGAAGAGAGGGGCTGGAAGCTGGACCTGGAGGGACAGAACCAAAAGTTGCAAACTGACGGCACCTACTGGCAGCCATCAAGACTGCAGAAGGGCTGGAGAGTTATGGCCAGGGACAAGATTCCAGGATTCTCTCCATGCCATCTCAGGGATGAACTGGGGTCTCTCGTGTCCCATCTGCCTTGGAGAAGGGCAAACAGAGCCAGGTTCCTCAAGTCTCCGGGAGAATCCCAGCCTGTCCCTGATTCAGAAAAGTGCCCCCAGCCCTCTCCCCGTCCTTCATCATCACTGGACCCAATTCTGCCACCAACTTATTGTGTGAACTTGGACACTTCCCCTTGGAGCTTGAATGTCCCTAACTAGAAAAGGAAGATAGATCATCTCCACCTATCCTACCTCTTGAAGATCTTGTGAGAATAAAATGGGACCAGGAAGGATGGTTCTGATCCCAATGCCAGACTTGTCCCCTAGAGAGCAAACTTGGGAGGGATAAAGGTGCTGGGACATGGAGGAAGGAGTGCAGGAGAGGCTGGACTGAAACCAAAAGAAGTACCTGAGTGAAGGATGAGGGCAGGTGAGTGTGGGAAATCTGGAAACGTTTCCAGGTAAGACAGATGCCCACACCCCTACCCCAGCATCCCCCCAATCCATCCTCTCTTGCTGCCCCCCACATCACTGTCTGGGATAATTCCAAGGAGACAGGAAAACGGACATGAGGAGGCCTTCCAAACAGCTCCCCACCATTCACACAACACACATTTATTGAACACCTATTGTGCACAGGCTTTGTGCTACATACAGGGGATACCGGGATGGCCAAGACCACTCTCTGCCTTCAGGGAGCTCACTGCCTAGTGAGGGGAGACAGGCATATAAATTAAATGAGTCTAACAAATGTGCAGGTGCCCCGGGGATGTTTATATGGGGCACGATGGGGACCCAGAGACACAAGAGGTCAGTTATACATTCAGGACATGGAAAGACTTCATGGCGGAGGTGATCCTTGCACCAATGGTCTTCCATGCTAGAGGAAAAAGCACAAGCATTAGCATCAGGCTGACCTGGATTCTGATCCCAGCTTTGCCACTGGACTCACTGGTGAATCTGAGATAAGCTACTATCTGAGCTTCACTGTCCTTACCTGGAAAATGGGACTTTGCCGTAAGAGAGAAAGAAGGGTGGGGAGGGGAGAGAGAGAGAAAGAGTGGCCTGTGCAAATTGCCCAGCACACAGTAGGCACCAAGTGTTTTCTCCCTTCAATCTCTCCCTGCTGGAAACTGTAACTTGTGCACAAGGCTGGAGATCCCCTGGTGGCAGGACCTGTCTCCTCTACCGGACTGGAAGCTCTCAGAGGACTGGGTTTAGTGTCCCCCCCTGGGCCTGCTGATGTCTGGGAGAGGCTGTATATAAAGGGCATGGGCTTTGGAATCAGAGGACCTGAGGTCAAGTTGCAGCACAGCCACTTAAGAGCTGTGTGACCTTCGACATGCCACTTAACATTTTGAAAGGTCATTTTCATCCTCTGTTTAAAAAAAAAAAAAGATAATAATTGGGCTTTCCCCACAGGATTGTTGCAAGAAAAAAATCTGATAATAGGCCAGAAAGGGCTTTGAAACCCGATGAGTGGGGTGCAGATGCTGCTTTTTGGTTTTCTCCACCTGACTGTGGCCGCCTCGAGGACTGGGAGCACCAACTGGAGCCCCCCACTGGCAGAAACTCCCTCCCTGCCATCTTTCCCAGCCCAGGGCTTTACCAGAAAAAGAATCTCTGCCTCCCCCTCAGCATCCTTGTCTGTCCCTCACCTCCTGGGTGACCGGAGGGTCAGGAAGATGCCCCTGGATGGAGGGTTAAAAAGCCCCAGTCCCTCCCAGCCTCTTCCACCCCACACCCTCGTTGGCTTGTTGCTTAGAAAGAGTCTCACTAGCTCCTTTGTTGGTTAAGTTTCAAACCTCTACTGGGCTCAGGCTGGGATTCTTAGAGAATCGACAGGAAGAAAGAGAGCTCAATTCCCAGGGGAAAGACACGGTCCTACCCTCAGAGAATCCCCAATCTGATGGGTTTGCCCTAGAGAGCATCTTATCTGATGGAGTAGGCAAAATACACGTTAATGAGCATGGACTATATCCTGGACATGGTTCTAAGTGCTTCACTCGTGTGTGCTTCACAACAGCCTCATGATATAGGTACTATCGTTATCCCCTTTTCAGAATAGGAAAACTGAGGCGCAGAGAGGTATGTCATTTACTCAAGGTCACACAGCAAGTAAGTGGAAGAACAGGCAGTCTGGCCCCAGAGTCTTTATGATTAATCCCTATGTTTTACTGCTTTCCAAAATAGCTGTCAGAAGCATTCTAAACCAATGCTAAGGGCAAAAGACTATGATACAGAGTGCAAGCTGGGTGTAGTGGATCAGAGCAGAGGTAACATTAGCATGGGACTGGGCCCAAAGCCCCCCCATAACTTCTGGCTTCCCAGCCCCTCCTTGGCTGCCCTGGACTGCCCACTGTGCCCACACTGAGTAGGGAGCTCAGCTCCCCTCCGTGTCCACTGATGTCCAGGCCGCAGGTGCGGCATCCTCCACAGTCACCCCAAGTGTGGACTGAGCAGTGGCACATCAGTGTGGCTGCCTCCTTGCGCACCAGGACCCCACACTTGGAGAGACCAGACCAGGAGAGCAAGGATCTCCACAGAGACACCACAGCGCAGAGGGAGGTCTGGTCCAGAGGACAGAGCCTGAGTCCTTCCCTCAGGAGCTGCGGCTCCAGAAGTGAACACCCAGGCAGAGAGGGGGAGGGGAGAGGATAGTCCATCTGCAGTTGGGGTGGCCAGGATCTGGTTTCATAGCTCCAGTCCACCCAGCTCCTCTACTTGCCAGCTTTGTAGTCACTTCCCCTTCCTCAGCTTCAGTTTTCCCATCTGTAAAATGGGGGAGGGGAACTCACTGAATTGTCAAGCCCCTTCCAGCTCTGGCAGTCTAGGAATCTAGGACATCCGGAGTCCTTTCGCATAGTCCTAGGCCCCATGCTGGCATGGCTCCCAACCCTTCAGTGCTGGCACTGTTTGCAGGCTGATTGGCACTGACAGAATCTCAGTGGCCAAAGCCAGTGTGGGACACAAGCCAAGTGAACGATGTTGAGCCCTGTGAGAGCTCTGTCACCTCCCAGAGAGGTGATGAGCCTCACCTAACGGCATACAGCTGGTAAGTAATCCAGCCAAGACTTAAGCCAAATATATTTACTGCCTGTTATGGACTTAGCCACCTGTGCCGTGCTGCCTCTGCTGCCAGAGCATGGCCAGCGAGCCGTGGGCTCAGGACTCAAGGAAGGTGGGCGTGGAGGGAGAAGAAGGTGTAACCCTGGAGAATCTATGCAGAGGACACTTGTAAAAGTAGAGACATGGAGGGGACTCTGGGCAGAGAAAGACAGATGTTAGGGTAGGGAAATTGTTTGCCCTGCCTCCCCTGACACCTGTTGAGTCAAAGAACAGGGTACCTGCTGGCCAGGTTGCCTCTTGGCCTGACAGATCAGAAGCCCAGAATCAGAGCAAACCCCATGCCCTTCCTCCACACTCTCTGGAGGCCTCCAGGCCCTGCCTCCTACTCCCCTGGCCCTTAGAAAACCCCAAAGAGACTCTACCAAGGGACCTCTGAACCTAGAAAGACCCCTCAAAAGGGCTCTATACTTAGACTCACAGAGGAGTCCTCAGAC